GAGTAATTTAAAATGGTAGCATTCATTTTGGCAGTCCCCTGTATTATGTAGATAATCTTGCTTTAAATATGTCAGTTACTGTAAAGATTTGGGAATAACTTTTTCTAATAAGTGTAGTTGTAATATTCATATTTGGATAATTATAAATAACGCATATAAAAGATTAGAGAAATTTCTTAATTTTTTAATAATGCTTTAGTAAGCTTTTTTCAGAGTATGCTTTGCTGGTATGGAATACGGCAGTCCAAAATTGTAATTGACAATCTAGGCACTCCTACTAATTTTATAAAATATAGTTTATATAGAAATTCTATTATTTATCATTTAATGGATTATGAGTTATGAGTGTTGGTTTATAAATCTTATTTGGAAACAGTGAAATATAGGCAAAATTATTGTAAAAAATTGTATGGATTGTCTAATCTTACAATATGAGGTTTGATGTATAAATAAATAATATTATCTTAGAAAAAAAATTTGAGCTTGTACAGTAGAGCATCGATTATCCGAACACCGGTTAATCGAAGGCGTTCCAGTTGGCAAATTCAAATTTCCGCTAGGGCTGTGGCATTGCAGCACTCTTCCCCTCCCTGCCAAACTGAACTGAACTGTAGGCCTAGTTTAATGTACTACATTATGTAAGGTATGTACTTGTAAGACGTGTGATACAAATCATACACATTACAGTTTTATGTTTAATATATTTTTCATAAATGATCAGTTATCCGAACAACCCCAGTCCCGAATTGTTTCGGACAATCAATGCTCTACTGTAATTCCATTTGCTCGTATAGAAATTTGCTTTAATTTGCTTTTTAATGTTTTTGCAATAATTTAAATATGATTAAATCAAAACACATTTAAAATAAAAAATATTCTGACAAGTTTTTGGCAGGGTATGTCCTTAATAAACAAGGTCCACATTTGTGGGTTAGGCAGATGCTCACATTTAAAAATTGCCACAGTGTTCCTTGATCATTAGCAGTAAATGCAATACTATCCCAAGTATAAGTGTTGTATCACAATCACTGCTACAGTTGCACATCAAACTGGCCACTGACAAAGTGGACACAAGAAATGAACAAATTTATCATTCACACTTACTACTACATGACAAATTCACACAAAAATACTTGAACCTACTGATGTGTAGAAGAAAACGTTTGGCATTAAAATAACACCTCACAGAAAGTGACTGTACTAAATACATGTCACAGTATCTGGCAATTCTTAAATACTGATTCCTATGCCAACATCACATGATAGAGAGTTTCCTTTGTAGCTATGAATTAATGTCTTGTTTAGTACTTGGCACTTATATCAACTGAGTAGGACTCATTTTTATATTGTTAATCCCAACAGTAATAATAAATTAAAATATTTAAAATGACGGAGTCGGAATTTTCTAATCTTACTTAATTGTACTGTGAGTGAGTATACGAAAATTCAAATTTCCCTTCTTTTCTGACTTACGGAGGCATGAAACCTTCTAAACTCTAAAACATTTTTAATTCTATTTCATTTTAGTAAAAGCAAACCAGTGTTTTCTTAGAGAGAAACCTTTTTTATTACATTGTATTTATCCCTAAATGCATTTTGCCAGTACACTGGCCTCTTCAGTAGGGCTCCAAAATATACAATACAATTTGGTTTGCCAATCACAATAGCAATCCATTACAATCTCTTACTCTGTGCTTACAGTTTTTATATCCGACAAGGTTACCCAGCATTCCACTGGTGCCTCACCATTATTTAAATTTACAGAGTTAATTTGCATAACGATTGCAAAATGCTCTTTAAATTTCCATTTTACAGTATTTAACATTAATTTGACAATTATTAACACTACAAAAACACTAGAGAAGTATTGACCTTTAAACATACTGCGGCGAGATGTTCTGACAGTATGACCTTCAACTTCCATTTGGTTTCACCAACGTAAAAATTTGGGACTCCGCAAGTGCATTGCAATCTGTACACATCACCTTCCTCTTCCAATGGGTCCTATTTTCATCAGTTCAAATAGCCTGTTTTTTTTGGATTGGAGCTAAATGATAAAACAAGAAATTAAAAAGTACGTATCTTTACTTTATATCAATTTAAAAAAATTGTATGATGACCTCTTGTTAAGAGATTTCTTGGGTATCCATTTAACAAAAACTTATTATTTGTTGTCTGGACTTCTTTTTCTCTTACTTTAGGTTTTGTTGTTGTGGAAAGAATCTTACTAATTTCCATCAAATATATATTCTGTTTTTGATTTACTGGACAATATGATTTAAAATTTATAACTTTTTTAGCATTACACGGCTTTTCATACTTACTATATTCAAGATGATTGTTAAAATGTTCAATTGTAATATCTAGAAAATATAATATAATAATAATATAAGATCAATTTATATATAAGTTTATTATCGACATACCTTGCAAAAATTTCTATTCCTGTTAGACTTGATAGTGTTTCGTCCATATCTGTCATAAATTCTTCTGCCAGTTTTGGGCCAATAACAGATCCCATTGAGATACCATCTCTTTGACGATAATATTTTTCATTAGCTGTAAAATAATTTTTATCCAACATGAAATCAATAAGCTCTATTAAATGGTTAGGAACTCTGCACTATCATTTCTTTATTAATTGAAGGATACATTGATACTATATCTAGGCTCATTAATTTATGATCTGGTATGATTTTTCCTCTCTCTAGTTTATTACAACATCTGCATTTTTTATACTAAATTCGGAATTTGAAAAAACCTGTAAGGATTTTTTAAGAAAATTTCTAAATTATACAATAATTGGTCTACATTTATTTTAACATTATAGACTTTAAGTTGTTTGTGTTTTTATACAAATATTTAATTTGGATATTCTTACATTTTCCTTTAGGAGTATTTCATTAATTTCTGACTTTGAAATGATACCTTCTTTTGACAATTTCTTTAGCTTTTTAGTTAACGTTTTTCTTATATTCGTTGTCGGATCTTGTTCTAGTTCTTCAAAGTTTCCTTCTGATATGAGTTCTTGTATAGTCAGTATTATAATTTGTTGTGATTTGTCAGCTCTAAAAAATCTAATCTTTGTTTAATTAATCTATTATATATTTTTTGGCTTTATAGTCCTTAATATATCCTTTATCTGTATTGAATTTCTTTAAATCTTCAGCTATTTTAATTCTAATTTCTTCTTTTTTATATTCACTTCTAAATATTGCTTATTCTATGTCTGCTACAGTATCTGTTATTTTATCAAAGAAAGGTAAATTCATACTAATACCAAACGACAGAAAATGGATATAATCTTATTAATTTATCTGCAAAGAAAATTCCAGAACTAAATTCTTTTGCCATTCTATTTTTTCATCCTCTGACGGATAATCTAAATATATAAAATTGCTTGTCCTGACTAACTGACTCACTGATTCATCATCACCAAGAGCAAACCACTGAACCTAAAGAGGTGAAATTTGGTACACAGTTAGGGTACGTCATGAAAACGGCTTCTACTGTACTATTTTAGATGCAATTTTTTTCTTTTTATATGCATTTTAGTAGGGTATACCATGGGAATTCACATTAAGAAGGGATTTTTCTAAATTCCCCTGCGGGGGGAGAGATTAAGGCTTAACCGGAAGAACAGCTTCTACTGTACTATTTTAGATGCAATTTTTTGTTTTCAACTACATTTAGTCTTCATTGAGCACTTAGGTGTATTAAATTGATAATATTTCAGACATTGTTATAAATATTTTCATCTATTTCGATTTTAAAAATGTTCGAACCGTTTTAAATTTGAATTTGTTATTGCATATTGGTTCGATTATAGAATGATTGTAAACATTCCAGAAAACTGATCAAATTGAAAATAGTTCGTTTGATTCTCGGTAATTCTCTTCAGCTGTAGATGTTATATAACAATTACTACAGTTATTGAAATATTGAATGTAAATGGGGTTTGCTTGCAAAACCTCCTCGGATGAAGTCGGGGGTAACAGCTAGTTAAATATATGATAAATTGAGTAAATTATTTAATATTGTTATTAGTTCGTTTATAATTACCGTACTTTAACATTTTTAAGAATATAACTAAATTATAAATCATTTTACCTTTATGATCACAGATTTTAGTATTAATCTTTCTATTTTCCTCATCCCTGAATTTGAGTGTCTTTGGGGTGGTTTCTTCATGTAGATGGCACTTGAAAAATTATATATCCTTAATTAATATCTCTCTCTCGTTGTTCCTGTACTTTTTCAACCTTGCCTCCAAATCAATCTGTCTTTAAAAAATCGTATAAAAATAAATTTAAAAATTTAAAATGATGGAGTCAGAATTTTCTAATCTTACTTAATTGTGAGTGAGTACACAAAAATTCGAATTTCCCTTCTTTTCTGACTTATGGAGGCATAAAACCTTCTAAACTCTAAAATAAAAGGTTAAAAAAGCAAACCAGTTTTTTCTTAGAGAGAAACCTTTTTTATTACATTGTATTTATCCCTAAATGCATTTCGCCAGTACACAGTGTACTCTTCAGGGGGAGACATTAGGTGCCATCTTGTATTAAATTTAATAATTATAATGGATGATAGTTATATTGTAACGTTAAATATACTGGAAGAGGAGATTGGACCGAAGGTCCATGTAGCGTAATTGGCAACGTATCAGCATGGTAAGCAGCAGTTTCAGGTTTGAGTCTTGCTACGGGCCGATTCTTTTCTTCCAGTTCAGTCTAAAATTATTTAATCAGATTATCATTATTAAATTTAATATGAGATAGCACCTAATGTATCCCTCTAGGGCCAAATAAATTTGGCCCTAGAGAAATATATTTTGCCAAATCATGCCATCAACTGCCATAAATCATTGCAATGTATTGAGTTTACTAAAGTTGTTTATATTTATATACTTTGTGTTTAATGTCAAGTAAAAACAACTGTTAGCAAAGAATACAACCACACTGTGTTTAAGAGGTGCATACATTTTAATATTGTTACAGATTCAGCCAAATTCAAATGTTGCGGAAATGAACGAAGACATGAAGTCGCTGTCGGGTGGAGAACGTTCATTCACCACGGTCTGTCTCATTCTTGCCCTGTGGGATGCGGTGGAATCGCCATTTCGTATCTTGGACGAATACGATGTCTTCATGGTAACAATTTTAGTTTAAACTATTGTTATTTTTGATAATACAGTAGAGCGTCGATTTTCCGAATCAATTGAGGACTGGGGTTGTTCGTATAACTGATATTTCGGATAACCGATTTATGTACGAAAAAACAGTTTAACGTATCCGATGTTGAAAATTTTCTCCGATGCGTGTCGCTTCGTCAATGTTAAGCCTAACGAAGACTATTGTATCGTAAAAAATTATTTTTTTATTTTCTACAAACAAAATAAATATATTGAAAAATATAAAAACAATAAAAAATTATACTTCAGATGTTAATTTAGTATCAAAAACGTAAAATATTTCAGTAGTCCAAGACATAGACAAAGATTGAAGTGCCACAGCACTGGTGAAAATTTAAATTTGCCGACTGGAATTCTTTCGGATGATTGACTTTCGGAAAATCGACGCTCTACTGTACTTTCATGCTAAATTTACTGATTGTCTCTCATCTATGCAGTAAAATTGTTGCTTTTCTTGTATGTCATTTCTATCAAAAAACATGGAATTTCTCTTCAAAACTATTTTTTTTTATTTGTTGCTTTCTCTGAGCCTCTATAAAATCCTATTTTCTACAAGTCAACATTGTGTAGAGAAACAGTCTTCGTTCTGTTTTGGTTCCCTCAATTTCATTATTCCATGCTCTTTTATCAATTCTAATTCTACTTTTAATGGCTGTCACAAAGAGAACTATTGCTAAATTGTACACATTAGCCCAGGATTGTTATAATTAATTTGAAAATTTAAGACTATACAAACAACAAGTCCTTTTTTCTATTCACATCTTTTTTAATTCAAATGCAGGAACCACAAACAGCAGGCGACATGAAGTAAAACTTTTAAAACAGAAAAATACAATTAAAAATGATCTGAGAGTCCTCTGGCGACTCGGAAATTATTTACATAATTGTACACATTATAACAATCCTGGGCTAATACGTACAATTATGTAAATAATTTCCGAGTTGCCCAAAAATCCACCAGAGGACTCTCAGCTTAAATGCAATTATATAACATGAATGCTGTTGTGAAGAATTTGGTTTTTAATGTTTATTGATGTTGTAACCCACAAAAAAGGGTTGACCTCGAGATCATTTTTAATTGTATTTTTCTGTTTTAGAAGTATTACTTCATGTCGCCTGCTGTTTGTGGTTTCCGGAATTGAAATTAAAAAGGATGTGAACAGAAAAAAAAGGACTTGTTGTTTGTATAGTCTTTTTTTTTTTTAAATTTAAGAACTATTGCTCTTCTCACCAGAGTTTCAAAAACAGCATTCCTATATCTGTAGAGATCCCATGAATGAAACAGTATATAAATTGGTCTGAAAGCAACTTTACTATATACTTCATCCTGCATTCATCTTGTTTTATTAAATCCACATCTCAATCCATACATCCAAAAAATGTACTCCTTTCTCTAAGTCTTGTTCATTTAGAATTTTATAGAAGATACATGGATGACATGTTTGTGGTCATCCATGTATCTTCTTTAAAACAATGAATGCATCGTTCATGTATCTTATAATTTGGAATAGAAAAATAGCAATGGGGCCGTTCATTGAAAAATTTTTTGATAGTGCTTTTGGATCAAAATTAAAAATGACAAGAGTCAGAGAAAATGGTACATTTTATTGCATACCAAATTTGCAACTATAATGAACTTTTAATCAAATACAGTAATGCCTTGAGATACGAGTTTAATTTATTCCAATCCATTCCAGGCCCCTAAAAAATCACCCCTATTTTTGTTTTTTTTTTCTTACAAGCAAAAACATGTAGCTTACAAACAAACTGTACTGAACCATGAAGTTCAGATAAGTCATAGTCCAACTGGCGGTGGAGAAATAGAGGGACAATGACTAGCCTAGTCTACAATACCAAAGATTAATTTTATCCATTACTGTAACTAATTTTTAAAAAATTTTAAAATTTAATTTTTGTCTTCACTTTTATTGGCCGACCGTTTCAACATAAACCTGTCCAAGGAGGTTTGCCTAAGCCATAACACGACCAGTGACAACTTTTTCCAGGTGTTTTCTCTCAACAAAGTCTGTAAATTTCTCCCACATTACGTGCGAAATTAAAGAACTTTGGCAGAGCTAACCTCTTCCACCTCTGGCTCCATCGCAGGGATACCAATCACTTGTATAACCTTGCTTATCTGCTCCTTCTGTAACTCCACCATCTCCATTGTGAGAGTAGCCTGGGGTACAGGGTAGGTTTATTTCGCCTGTATCACTTACTAGGCACAGATTAACCGAAATCTGTCTCCAAAGTTTCAGAGATCCGATCTTAAAAGTTTCATAGGAGAGCGATAACCGCTAGTTCATCCGAACTGCGAAGGTCAGATGTTCGTCAGGACTGACACCAGTTTGTCAATTTATCGATGCACGGACAAACACGCATATATGATCTGATTCGGTCACACAAGTACGAGACATTTTGATTAATAACGAAATAAATAACGAAATAATAAATTTAATAAACAAGAAAATAAACTCATACAGAATGTGGATAAACGAGAGACAGAACCACTACAAATACTATACAAATCGAGCGATAGCTATACTTATATTCTACCCTAGTCGCGATCGAGAGAGAGCTCACAAAATCGTTATAAGACATACGACCTGTTTAGTTGTCGTTCGTCATCTTCTCTGTATGGACACTTTGGAGATAAAGTTCATTTACTTCTTCGTATGGGAGATCACTAAGTGCACAAAATCATTTTCTACGTGCAGACTCTAGACTTATTCCGTATGTGACTCGTCTAAGGACGTCGTTCATCAGGAGGGAAACGTATGTGGAGTTTGGACGCTTTCAGATCTGTCGTTCAACTCCCCGAATTCTGACAAGTTCCCTGTATATCTTCGAAATACCGACCAATCATCGGCCAGTAACTCTTTCATGAGAACGGATGAAAGGGGAATGAATGAGGGGTAACCATTTCCCATCTGAGCAGGATTTTAACCAGATAAGGGAAAGTCAGAGGATGTTCTCTTCTGTGAAAGGAAGTAACATCTGTTATCTGCCTATTCCCATGTTAAAACAGTATTTTTCTCACCAAAAATGAAGTAATATTTGGTGACAATATTTTAACATTATTAATAAAATATTAATTTAGACCCAGGGGCCTTTCGGGTCTCACACCATCTAAATCAGCATTCAGAACTCTCACCTAAAATCTTGTTTACATCTCCAGACTTGTGATTTCCTCACCACTTCCTCTTCGGGTTTGAACCTTTCAAAGTCCTTTTCACAGCATTAGGCCACAATTTCTTCCAGGCAGAGGTCAATATTCTCTTTGTAACATCCTGCCAGGCCATGTCAATATTTTTGAGACATATCATAATCTTCAAGAATTCAGGAAGGATCATTTTAAGAGCGAGGTTGGTATTTTCTGTAACCTCAAAGCATCGTTTGAAAAGGTGTTTCATATATAGTTTCTTGAGATTGGAATAATGAGAAGGTAGAGAACCTTGGTGAAACTGAACTCCCCAAGGATGTCGTCTTAAAGGTTGGTGGGGTGGCGCATTATCTAGAATGAGAAGAGCTCACAGTGGTAGATCATTGGTCCTGCTGTAAAACAAAGTATCTGGAGGTCAAACACCAAATTTATCTGATTGACAAAGAACTGCCTCATCATCCACTTTTGGGTTAGCCCTCCACATGATATGCAGCTTAAAAGCTCTTGGGTTTTCAGAGTGGTATATGAGAAGTGGCTTTATCTTGCAGTCACCACTTACATTTGCACATGGTGCAAGAGTTAACGTGTCCATCAGTTTGTGGCCTGGTATCTCCTCTGCTGTGATGTAAGTCCTCCTTAGCATCTTCTTCCAAAAATGTCCAGTTTTGTCACAGTCAAAGACTTGTTGGGGGATTATCCTTCAACTTCTATGATTTTCACAAGTGTTTTGACAAAATCTTTGGCCACCTCACCATGCCTAATAACAGAATGAATGCCAGTCCTTTTTTTGAAATTTTCAAACCAGCTCCCTTTTTAGACTCTTCTTCTGCTGAAGAACAACATAAGATTTGATACAACAAGAGGGTAGTTAACCCTCTTGTTGTATCAAATCTGAGTAAAATGATCCACATTTTTCAGATATTTGTCCAGTCTGTCTACTTCAGTTTCTAATTTGTTACGTTTTGTTTGCAGTAAATCGACATTTTCTAATATGCCTGCACTTAATGGGAGAAAAAATCTGAGTAAATTGTTTGTGCCTTTTCACAAATGATAGCCTCAGTGAAGGTGTCTCCAATGAACTGCTTAAGTACTCTGTTATCCACAGAAACGGAAGATTTTCCATTTTCTCATGGACCGAAGTGCATAGCTTCAATATTATCGTTACTCCCTTGGCTGCTGTTATATATATGACTGCCATTATAGAGGCTTTCTGTTCAATATTGTGCATATCATTGATGTAGAATGCTCATACTGTGTTTCCAAATCCATTACTCTTAAGCCTTCATGTTTTTTTATAATTTCCCACTTTACCTCAAGCAAAATCATATGTTTCGGCTTTTCACACCAATGGTGTCACTAACGAAATTTTGCAAAATAATGGCAAAAAAGACACAACACAACAGAGATCTTTCCAGAGCGAGGTGAACATGTGTACTGCAAGTGGAAATAATCTCAAAGCTTGGTGCCCACAGCACCAACTAGAGGATGCTTAACCAAAACTCGCTCATATCTCGAGGCATTACTGTACTAAAAATTTCTGAAAAGCAAGGTAATGTAAGGGAATTGTATTTTTTCAATGTTTTATCAAATGCAAAAGTTTGTTAGAGTATTATCATCATTCCCAATCTCTATAATGTTATTTTTCCATATTCCAGTCATTCCTCTATTTATAGTCTTTACAATTTCATCAAATACAAGTTAAAGTCCATTTCTGTTATGACAGTCTTAATTGGCCCTCTTAGTTTCTTAGAATTCCAGTTATCCTCCAAATCTCTTGATTGGAATTATTCCCAGTTCACAAAATATGCCTTGATTTTCCTGTGACTGCTATTTATCTTTGGTATTCCACTGTTAGGATTTTGTAGTTTTTAACATTGCTTCCATTCTGGGATCAATCTGTTATATAATCCACAAAACTTTATAACCTTTGATATCATCATATACTATTACTTATCAAAAACTTGCATTTTGCAGGCTAAGAAGTATGTGAAAATCAAATTGGATTATATCATTAGAATTTAATTTTTTGCTTTTGAATCCATATATTGAATTAATCAATGTTTAAATGTATCTTATATTGTGAAGATCTGTTTTGATGAGACTATGTTGCATCTAAAATCGCACTGCTGTCAACGGCTGCACACAGCTTACAGGTATGAAGGAGTACATGTCAGGAGTTGCGATTTAGCACCGTGTATTTGGTGCCCAAATCATGCACACACAAAATAAACCAGACTTGTAGGTAGTCAGGGGACCAAGAACCGGGTCAAAAGAAAATATGAAATGCCGAGACTGTTTCTGCAAACTGGTGCGAGAGCGAGATTTGCACATGCATTGCTCGTGCTCTCCAGGAATTAGTCTCATCCCAAAAGTTACTTCCCTGTTTTACTTGTTATTGCTGTGAACATAATTTACCAGCCTGTAATTACTAGAATTTTGAGTTGTGAATAAGACATGGCTGTATTTATGCTCAGTGAAAAGATCTACATTAATGTTGCATATCTAATTTTTTTTATTCAGGATTTGGTGAACAGAAGAATAAGTATGGATATGATGATTGAGACAGCTGCACACAAAACAAAACATCAATTCATTTTTCTCACACCACTAAATATGTCCAATCTGAAACGCTCGCCACTGATCCAAATCTGTCGCATGCCGGATCCGGACCGAAAACAGAATTCTCGAGAAGAAATGGAATGAGTCGAATTTGGTTCAACAAAAATTTACAAATGCCGTTTTGGATTATTTAATTAAATAATTTTATTTCACATTTCAAATGAGCGTAGGGGAATATAAACATGATTATCTTTATAAGCAACAAATGTATTTATCCAATATGTTCACTTTGTTACTTTTTTGCAACAATATATTTATCCTTTTATGATGATAAAATCAATTTTATGATAAAACCAAGCTTCAAATTTTTATTCGTGCTTGGAAAATTCTATCGGTTACAAAGATGACGACATAAGTCCAAAAGTACAGTACTTACTTGTTAGTCCCGTATAGTGGACGACTCCATTTAATATGTGAACGTATTTTGTATTATATGGATTATTTTCAATAATTAAAATGTATTAAGCTAACAAGATTATTATTATTATTTTGGACCAAATTTTTCATTTTTTAAAATACACTGAATCTGTCAAGTCTCAATTTTGATCAAAAATAAAAGAACTGGTTTGATATTGTTAGAATTTGTAGATAATTTGTTAATATCATGTCCTTAGAGACTCCTCCTTGTTCAGTTTTTAAACTCAGACGTGTTTTGGCATTATTGCTCTCTTCATACAGGTTTTCCTAATGATAAAAATATTGTCCATGCACAGTAGAGTCCCAGAAACTTAACGTTTCTTACACGTATTTGATCCTAGTGTTCAGTTATAAAGGTAGAAATTAAGTTGTCGTTATTCACTGGCGACATTGAATAATAGCATTGGTTCCATGTGTTAACAAAGTGCCACAACATGAACGACACTAACTCGAAAGTAACCATCGAATGGCCAATAATTTTTTAAATTAACATTTAGCAGCTGTAAATAGAAATAGTCACTAATGGTACATAGTTAATACATATATGAATTTGCACACACAATACATTTACAAAAATTTTGCTATTTAGACTAGCATTGTCATGTGCCATAAAACTTGACATATTCTGTAACTCATCATCTCGGTCCACAGTAAGTTGAGTTTGCTGGACCCTACCATATTGCCTAGAAATTTAGCGTGACCTAATTCAATAGCTCTTTTTTTCGGTCTTTCTTACTACTAATTTTGCTACAAATCCCACTGTTGGAGACCAAGTATGTTTGTGGCACAGATCATTGAAAATAAAATCTCTTTTGCACATTTAACCAAGTTAACCAGTTTCTATATGATTTTAAAACTAAACTCCCAAAATTCCATTTGACTTCAGTATACTCTCTGATTTTTAAAAAAGTTCCAGTCGTATCAACAGATACATTGTTCAAAAATCAAATTTAAGCATTGTGACTTTATGCATTTATATCTCTGTCAAGAAAGAATCAATAACAATGAAAATGTTGTTTATGCAGAAATTAAAATCCTAGAGTTCCACATAAAGGAGAAATGAGCAAAAGATGTTTTGACCTTTAGATGGAGTGCTTGCAGTTTCTGAAGATCATGGTTAAGGATATTTGAGTGAAAAAAATCCCTTGAAATATCAGTAAGAATGTCTAAATGCCTCAATCTAAGAATCATGCTCTCTGACAAATTTAGTTGTTTAATCACCACCACTGATTTGCTTTAAGAGTTTTCAAATAAAATAATTTTCAGTTCAAGCAAGTGCAATACAGCTTTACTCCAGACAGAACTGTTTCCAGGGGAAATGAAACCAAATTCTCTAGCATACAATGAGTTTTATTGAAAATCCAATGTTTGGAGTTATTTTTTGTAACCTACTTCTCGGAGCAAGTGGTATAGTAAATTTTAGAAAGTTGTCAAACTTGTCCTTTCTGTCAAACTGAACCTTTCTCACAGATGTAGCAGAGTAATCACATTCTACAAAGTGGAATGTTAATCGGCTAACAAAGAAATTAATGTAGAAAATCTCAAGATGCAGAATGATAGCAAGATTGGTGTATGATGAACCAAAAGATAGAAAAGTTTGTGATTTTATTGTAAAAAAACGATCTTTGGCAAGAGCACGTTCTGCAAGGAAGAAATACCAACTGTACTTGAACAAAGAATCTTTCCATAGTGACCACGTGACATCCTATTATCCAATCGGAAATAACGATCTAACGAGCCCATTATTTAGAAAGTGTTATTGCTCATCTAACTAACATACATACAATTCATCTTTATTTTATCAATGTGGAATTAAAAAGACTTGCTATTTTGTCAAAAAAACCACCTAGAGGAAAAGTGCAAAAGTAAAATTGGTTGGGTAATTTCTAGATCTAAAAGAATAAGAATGACCAAGACCCATGAAGTCCGACTCGAGCAACATTCAGTAAAATTGGCTTTGACAAGGGCTGCCGAAACAGTGTCACGTCAAACTCAAGTATAAACTACTTAATTTGTAGAAATAGCAACTCTTTTTGAATTTTTAAAATGTCTACTTTCTGATAAAAAGTATTCCAATTGTGCTTGATAGGGAAATTTCTAGTTATACAATAGCTATCACCATACAATAGATAGCGCACAAACAACATACAGGGAAGTGCTCCCTGTATGTTGTCTGCTTAATTTTAAATGCTATGATCGACAAAAACCTTCACACTACCAGAAGTGAATTAATGGATATCAAGTCAAAGAGACTTTTATGCCATCCAACAGAGACATTGCACAAATTGCTTATGTTTTTAGAAGCCATTATTTCAAAATCTTTGTGTAATTTACAAGAGAAACTAGTACTTTACACAAAAAGCAACCATTATTCAAAACCGCATTGGTTTTGAATAATGGACTCGAATAGATTACCATTTTGGTTTTGTATTTTTTTTTTTTCAAGTTTTCTGTCCGTTTCAGACTAAATTCAAGTTGTTTAAGACGAACATCTGGCAGTTCGACTCATCAATACATTTTTTCAGATGCTAAAAATCATTAATTAATCACAAACAGTTTATAAACTAGTTGTGAACTCACTTCACACAGCTTTGCTAACTGCTAAAATTATTCACATGTACATTGCTTGTAGGCTTCATTTTTTTTTAAGAGAAAAAATTCTGTTCTAAGATCAAAAGTTATCATCTGTTCAATAAATTGTTACCCAATTTTATGCAAATTATAAAACTTAGTCATTATACTGTTACTTTATTGTTTAGCATAGCTTCTCTTTACTTAAATCGACCAATAAAGAAACAATCTCAAATATTTTATAAATAAATTCTAATTGGAGCTAAAATTTGGGTAAGTTAACAAGCACGCTCAAACATTGTAGGTGGGTTGTATACCCAAACTGCCATTCTTAGTGTCATCGGTCGGAGCTCGAGAAAAAAATCGAAAGTAAAAAGATGGAGTCAACAGACTGTAATATTAAAAAGATCCCGATTTTACCATCTTGTTTTTGATTTTATCTAGATCAGAGGCCTCATTATTTCTTAAAAAACTTAGAACCTACTAGTTCCTCAAAGGAAATTGGGTCATCTAATAATGGACTATAATTATCAAAATGTATAGCAAGCTTAATAACCAAAAAAGGACCAAAAAATGTTCTCTCAGAAACAAGTTTCAATCCTTGGTAGAAATAATATTAGATGATCTTTGAACCCTACATTTATTAACCATTTTCCAAAAGTCGCCCTAAATTTACAATTCAAAAATTGCACATTGACCCTATGCCAAAATAGTATCTTCTTTGACTCACAAAGAGATTATACTAATTATTCTAAACCAAAGAAAAACTTAAACTTCTTTAATTCTGTCCTTTCTAAAAGATTTCAGAGCACAATTGGCAAATATTTTAAATTTCAAATGATCACAATCAAATCAAATTTTTCCATAAGGACTTGAAAATCTGTCCAAACAGCATACCACATTGAGAGACCAAATCTCTTAGCAAACATATCAATGTTGAATACAAAGATAAAAAATATCCAAAAGTTTTTCTCTTCAATTCCATCAAACCCAGAATTAACAGTAGAGAAATGATCAGCCAACTTTGAGGGTTTCCAATAAATTCTCTTCATTGGGTCTAGAACTATGAAATTTAAAAGTTACCTAGACAGGTAGAGATGATCACAATTAAATTTGTTTAAAACCTGCAATTTATTCAAGTTGTCCACTAAGTTAGATTTGGAAGCAATTAAATCTATAACTGAAGTACCTATGATAGAAGCAGATGTAAATTTAGCTGGAAAATCATTACAAAACGACCATTTAAAATTAGCAAGTCAAAGTTTTTATCAAACTTAAATATTTTCCCCCTCTGTTACTAAGAATTGGATCATTAGAAGAATGAGAATTATAAAAATATTAGAGCTGAAATAAAACGAATATAGTTCATTCGCAATTCTATCATTAACGTCCCCTAATTCTAAAAAATCGTCGTTCACTAATCAAAAATATATCCTTTGAGATCCGCCACAGGGCGTATTCAGAAATGGATAAGTATATAAAAATTAACATCAAACTAGGACATCCCATAAAAAGACCCATCATAATTGAATTTGATTATAATAAAGTATATATTTAGTAATTTGAGCTTACCGAATGTTTGGCAATTAATAACGGTCCACCAAAAGGTCTTCCTGGGTCAGCTGGCTTATGAGCTAAGTGTTCTGTGATGGTTATCAATGAAGCAAAAAAGTTTTCATCCAATATGTCGTCCACATTTCCAAAAGAGCAACAATACAAAAAAATAAAAATTTCAGAAAATTCACATCCATAAGATTTGAAATTAAAGTTCCTTGACAATTCCATGGAAAAATATTCAAATCAAACTCTGTCATATTCCTAGGTACTTCTCTAGCTGCACTTGATCCTCAGGGTCTTTTCCTTTCCCTTAAAAAGTCCATAATAAAAAAGTATATATTAGTACATAAACACACAAACTATTCGACGATAAAAAACACAATAAAAGTTTTTAAAATAAATTGGCTATGCAATACTTACAAAACTAATCTGTCCTTATTTTATTGTTACTCCATCGTGAGATCAAAACGTGATTCTAGACCTCCGATTCATTACTTAGTGCCAATTGATAGATTTCTTGACAAACTTATCGTCCGACTTGACGTTGGTAGGGGTCATGATGAAAGATGACTTTCATGAAACCTCTGAAAGAAATGTTACCTTGGAAATCTTTAATCTCTAACAAACATTATCTATTTCTCACATAAACATTAGTTTAGTGTTTTGCAGTAGGCAGCTGTGTTTGTAAAATCTCTGTTTGAGATCACAAAAACCAATCGTACATGTATATTGTAGTCAGAAGACCAAGCCAGCAGCGGTTCTTGGGAAATCATATTCTGTCTCTGCAACTATGTGAATACCAAAATCAAAGATATAGATGATGGCAATTGTTCTAAGTTAGTTGCATGGTTTGATCCTTGTGGGACCTGAATAAAAACAAATGTACTCTCATTCTGGTATTACCTTTTTCAAATCAAGACGACAGTTGACTATGGAACATAAGTTTGCTTCACTGGGTCATGTGTTTCATGATTGTGACAGAAATTTTGAAGTAAATGAGCATATCAAAAGAACGTCTGCACTATACATTTCAGAATCTTGGTGCAAACTTGTGGAGTTGGCCAGAAAGAAAATTCCCTTAAAAGTAGAATGTCACGGCAAACACACTTTGTCTATACAGGAAATGTGCAGTACACCTGGCTTCGAGATAAATGAAATTTGTGTGACCGCAGAAAGCTTCAAGAATAAAAATATCTGAGGAAAAACCAAGGGCAATGCTCATTGGATCACTTACAATGCCATGGGCCCTACAGGAAGAGAGGAAGGCTTCTGAGAAGCAATGTTGCACTTCCACGCCTCTACAATGGGAGGCATCCAATTTTGGCTCCTAAGCTTAACAACATACAAAAGCGGTGTGTGTACATTCCCGCAGTATCAGAGCTTATGTTACAAGTGAAGACACCTAAAAACATTGTGGAAGAATACTAAAAGTTACAACGGTGACTCGAGACAAATCGGATGTCAAGCAGGCATCCAGTTCATTAATTATATATGTTTTTCAGAATATAGCTCCAGATAATTTTTAGAAATCTTGGCCAGCACTAGAATACTCTGTTTAAACTTTTGCCTCTTCTCACTGATGATTTTCAACACCATCCTTCAAAGAAATCTGATTTAAAAAATGCTTTTGCTTGCCTTAGAGGAATGTTTAACAGCTGGTAAATGTTAAATTGTTTACTTCTAAATTTAAATAATTTAAGTATGCTCAAAGATGGAGGAAAGTTCTTAAATGCACACAAAAGTTTATTTTACTGATAACCATTTTATAAACAGTAATTAGATTATAATAGTTATGCCATCCAATAGAATGTTTCATTAATCCATAGTATATTACCTTATGAGGAAGCTTGACTTCTGTTGACCAATGATTATTACAGTAGTTCCTGACTATGTCACACATGTTGGGAGGCAAACTGAACGAGCAATAAATATATCAGATGATGTAATATAACTGAGGTATCATGTTTCTATCCACCCATTTTGCCTATTTTTTATCTTTGTACCGACTCGCTTTATTTATGGGTCATATTTTGTACAATTGTAGTTTTAATGCCGATGATTGGAATAAGGTAATATTTCTTTGCTGGTAGAAATTCAATGGCAACTATTTTTAAAAAACTATTGACTAAAGTGCTTTTACATTTGGAAGGAAAAATAGAATAATATACCCAAATGAGTGATATAATGAGGAGCCACTGTATTATTATTGGGCTGCAATTTCAAAAAATTAGACCTATAAATTCCCACTGTTGTCCGTTCATCTTTTCTTAATCTCGAGAACAAAGATAGATACAAGAAATCTGAAACCAGATACAAAAGCAGTAAATAGATGACCAGCACGACTCTATTGTTAATGGAAGTATGATGTAAAGAGGCAAGACACTACTAATAAATTTAACGTAAAGAACATATATTTTTAATTAAATAAATTAAAAAGTGCAGCCTGGCATTGTGACAATGTCACAATAAATAATTGCTCGTTGTTGTTATTTTTTATATTGAATGTAGTTTAGAGGTTCCATCTCATTTTGCTTATTTTATAATTATATGTGCAGTGAATTTCTAACAAAAATAAATCAAAAGTAATAGAGAGAAATAATGTCTGACCATATGCCTTCTAAATTGCATACCAGTTTTCAACTTCAATTGTAATTACAGCTAATTATAACATCAAGAAATTGCAATACTTGTAACAGTAGTAGTAGTAGTATCATTCAGATTGGCATGTGTTTCTACACAAAACTAAAACTGCCACTTGACACATCCAACTTCAACAGTTCATTTCACTCCCTAATAATGTTTTGTTGCCAATACAAAAAAATATGTATGTTGTAGAACATTACCCAAATATTCTCCTCTTTGGAGATTCTAGCAACTTACAATGTAATTGTTGGTTATTGGCTTGCAGTTGACAGAAGGCTGAAAACAAGATGGATAATAAAAGGGGAAAAAATGGTTACAAATTTGTGATAGATGGAATGTTGCAGGAAAAAGTCTTTGAAAACAAATTTTTCCATGTGTTAACAACACTTTCTAGAAATATGAACTATGTATGATCAATAATGTGGAGAAATATTTTGAATTACTACTTTATATCTTACAATTAAAAGAATGCAAGTTTTATTTTCTCAGGTGTGCATATTTAAAATGTTTGTTTTCTTAGAATACCTTGCATCTATAATAAACAAGCCTGGAGATTTCACTAACAGAACATTCATTTGTTAATCAACAAATAATTATATATTTGTTTTTTGATTGAATTCATAACAAAAAGCTAATTTAAATGCTCATGATTATAAATTTTTATTTCAAGACTGTGTACACATTTTACAAAATATATCAAGTTGCAATTGTTATTTATATGTTTCTTCTGTTATAAAAAATTTTTACGTGACGGTAACTTCTTCTATGTTCAGGTGAGTTACAAATCGCAACCTCATTTGTAATTTTGGCTTTAGAGTCCGGATGCTGCGCTCCACGTCATTTTTAACAACGTCTCCGGTAAACATGTATTTAATGTGATAACTTTGGGTTAAGAAACTTTGCTAAAATAACATTCTTGCTTTTAATATAATTATTATTATTATGTTGGGTTTAGTGGGTTATACTCGGTTGACACTGCTGGCTGTGTACTATGCCAGACCAGAGTCAAGGCATAGCAACCAAAAACTAAAATTAAATAAGTGTGTTAGTGTCTGTATTCAGGAATTTCCTAACAATATGTCATGTATTCAATATAGTGGCCTTCTGTAGTATGATGTATGTTTTTATATTCAATTGTATGTTCCCAGGCTTTTGTGTAGTGTGTGTGGTATCACACCTGTACAGGAGAGAACGACAGGTACAATAAGCACCCTTTAAATCCTCCACACATGCCTTCTTTCCTGGACGAGTTCTGTGTACTTGCTAATTTTTTCAGTGAATGTGTTTTGTACATTGTGAGTGTTTGGAATGGCTATATCTATAATGTATGTGATTTTATTGTTTGTCAATGAGTGTGATGTCTGGTCTGTTGTGGTAAATTGTTTTATCTGTAATTATGGCTCTGTCGTAGTACATTTTGTGCGTGTTGTTTTCCAATACTGTCTGTGGAATGTATTTGTAGTATGGTTCATTGATGTCTAATAATTTGTGCTTCTTTGCAAGCTATTGGTGTATTATATTTGCTACTTCATTATGTCTATTTAAATAATTGTCTGTGCCAAGAGCTTGCAACCAGAAGTGATGTGTTGTATAGTTTCTGGCATGATGTGACATTTTCTGCATGTGTCATTTGTGAGTGTTGTATCTTTGAGTATGTTTTTTCTGTAGTTTTTAGTATTTATGACCTGATCCTGTATGGCAATCATGAATCCTTCCGTCTCCCCAAAGAGGCATCCCTGATCTAACCAGCTGTTTGACGCAGTTTTGTCAACAAAATCCTGGGCCAGGTCGTAAGGATGCCTGTCATGGAGAGCCTTTTCAGCCCATGATTGCTTAATGTTGTCTATGCTTTTTATATGTTGTGACATGTCTGTATGTTGTGAGTGTAAGTTTAATGGTGTGTTATTTGAGTCTGCTAGAGTTACTGCTTTATGTAACTGTGATGTTTGATGTTTCTTGTTTCTTGTAGAAAAACTCTCGTAGTGACTGCATTTGTTTGTAGTGAAGGATAACTATGTCAATCAGGCCACATCTGCCTTCTTTACGTGGAAGGGTTAATCTTTCTGTGGCGGATTTAGGGTGATGTTGTTTATGCTTAGTAAGTGTTGCTCTTGTTTTCCTTTGGAGTTGCTCGAGATCTGTGCGAGTCCAATGTATAACTCCAAAAGAGTATGTGAGTACTGGGATGACATATGTGTCTATTGCTTTAACTGTGTGTTTTGCATTTAACTGTTTTCTGAGGATAGCGTTTAACCTACTTTGGTATTCTTTAATTAATCTTTGCTTTATTTGTGTATGTTCTGTTAGTTTGGCCTGTTGGAATCCTAAATACTTGTAGAATTCATCCTCTTCCATGGATTCAATAACGTCTCCATTTCTAAGTGCAAACTCTTCTTTCTTCAGGATTCCTTTATCTATGTGAAGTGTTTTGCATTTGTCTAAGCCAAACTCCATTTGTATGTCCTTAGTGTATGAATGTGTGATGTGTAAGAGTTGATGAAGTTGTTTCTGTGTGGATGCATAAAGCTTTATGTCATCCATGTACATGAGATGTGACAGTGTAAACTGTGTTGTTTTTCCATGTCTGATATTGTAGCCGTAATGCGAGTTGTTTAACATGTTGGATAATGGGTTCTGGGCTAGGCAGAACCAGAGAGGACTCAAGGAATGTCCTTGAAAAATTCCTCGCCTAATGAATATTTTGTTTGTTTGTATGGAAGTGTTACTAACCCTGAGATGTAGTGTTGTTCTCCAGTGCTGCATAGTGTTTTGGAAGAATGCAATGAGTGATGGATGTATTTTGTACATGTGTAGAATATGTAGCAGCCAACTGTGTGGAACGCTGTCGAATACTTTTCTGTAGTCTATATATGCCATGTGTATGTTTCTGTGTTGTTTGTGTGCTTGCCGTAGAATGACTGAATCAATGAGTAACTGTTCTTTGTATCCCCTGTGATTTCTATGCCAACCATTTTGTTGTTCTGTAAGAATGTTGTGTTCTTCAACATGTTTGTATATTTTGTTTGTGATACATGTTTTCAATAATTTGTAGAGTGTTGGAAGACATGTAATTGATCTGTGTTGTGTGGGGTTTGTGGTGTTGTTGTTTTTAGGTTTCATGTAGGTGATGCCCTTGTAAGGAACCAAGTCCAAGCATTATTTTTATTTACTTTTATTTGGGACTTATGTTTTGTTAGGACGAAGGTTTCCTCACCATTCACCTTAGAAACTTAAAAATAGAAGAGAAACCAACTCACCAATGAGAGAAAAGTGCCGTAGAAAAAACTCGTGCACCCTTGCACTCCCGAGCGGAAAAAAGTATGTCCGCACCGAGAAAAGGGGGAGACCCCACAAGCACAACTTAGNTTTGGGACTTATGTTTTGTTAGGACGAAGGTTTCCTCACCATTCACCTTAGAAACTTAAAAATAGAAGAGAAACCAACTCACCAATGAGAGAAAAGTGCCGTAGAAAAAACTCGTGCACCCTTGCGCTCCCGAGCGGAAAAAAGTATGTCCGCACCGAGAAAAGGGGGGAGACCCCACCAGTACAACTTAGGGACTCGCTAAACCTTAAAGAATAAAAACATCCCGAAAATTGTCAAAAAGAATAATGTAAAAGGTTAGCGAGTATTGTCGGAAAATAGGCTGCCAGACAAATAGAAAAAGTTTATTGTTAGCAAATAAGTATGTAAATGAGGGAAGTGATCACATTCAGAGTTGTGACGTCACCTCACAGTATAAAGTCCGACACCATCTTTACTCTCTTTATCCTTCACGCATTCTTTTAATCCATACACGTTATTCGTAAATTGTCCCCTTCGTACGGACGGTTTGCGGCTGGTGCCCTTATTCTCTTCTTATCCCCTTCGCTCTTTTCCTTCCCATTCCCACCCACTCCCCACCCTATCTCCATCCCTCCCTCTTCCTTTCCTTCTGGCTATACCATTGAGTTAAGGCCTTTTCTTTACAAACTATAAACTATAGTATAAAGTCCGAATCTTAAGTGAAGATGGACGAGGTGAGCTGCTTTTATCAACGAGCTTGGTGAGCTTCATAGCAGCAAATGAAAGAGAGGTGTCCGATAGGATAAAATAGTTCCAAGGCGCTTTTGAAGTTATTTGATTTGTGGATCGAAGATTAGAGAAAGTCTTGAGAGTTGAGGAAAAGGGTTCCTAGTATATTGAGGTGACGATTAGGATCTTTAATTCATAAGAATTATTGTATATAAATTAAGTCTTTGATATTTTGTCGAATTCCAAAGGGGAATAGAATTAAGTTAAAAAATAGATTGATTTGAGTTTTGTCGGGTTGATTCTTATTGACTTTCATTTAGTAAAATTCAAATAATTTATTCAATTTTGTATATAGTTTATTACTAGAACTTTTATTAAATATTTGATTTGTTATTGACAAACTTGGTCATTATTTAATTCGGTGCACACTTAAAGTTCAGGCCTGGCACACTAACGCGAATCCGCGTAAAGTACCCGTTAGGGAACGGCTATTTCCGGCACACAATCGTGTCGATAATCGTTGGAAAAGTCGGAAAAATAATATAGTACTTTACACCCTGAGTAAAAAGTTTTGGCATGTCTTGTGGATTGATGATTATGTATGTCAGATGTTTAGCTAGTTCCTGATGCAGTGATGTAAATTTTTTGTATCAGAAATTGTGAATATTGTCTACACCAGGTGTCTTCCAGTTGTGTGTTCTGTTAACAGCGTAGCAGATGTCATGTACATTTATTTCAGCACAGGGCATAGTTGGTATGTTGTGCAAGTTTTTGTTCTCCTCCTCTATTCAGCCTGCATCAGCATTGTGTGTAACAGCATTGGACCAAAGCAAAGACCAATAAGTTATGAGTTCTTCTTCTATTGGTGTGCCACTGTACTGTGTATCAGTGTTTGTTTTGGTACTAACTTGTTTGTAAATAATTTAGTTTGTTGTTTTCATAATGAATATGTTTTGTATCGTTTAATAAACTAAAACAAAAACTCGCAGCCAAAGCATGTAGACTCAATGTATTCTGTAATGTGTGTTGTGATTTTCTTGAAAATGTTTTTGAGTTGTTTCTTTAATTTGGGTATTACGTTGTTTTTAGTGTATTGTGTGAGCCCACCAATTGCCATCTAATGTCATTTATTTGTGTATCAATTCTCTGCCAGGCAGGCTTGTGATAGGATCGTGTTTTGTGTGTATCTGTCTGCAATTGTATTTTCAGTCCAAGGTGTGTCACTACTGTGACTGCCCCAGCATAAACTAATGTAAGAATGTCTGAGTGTGTAGAAATTGAATGAATGAATGTAGTTTGTTAGTAAGTGAGTGTTTACATAATTTAGTATTACTATTATTATTATTATTATGTTGGGTTTAGTGAGTTTTACTCGGTTCACACCAGTGGCTGTGCACTATGACGGACCAGAGTCAAGGCATAGCAACCAAAACAAAACTAAAATTAAATAAGTGTGTCAGTGTCTGTATTCAGGAATTTCCTAACAATGTGGCATGTATTCAATATAGTGGCCTTCTGTAGTGTTATGTATGTATTTCTACTCAATTCTAATGTTCCCAGGCTTTTGTGTAGTGTGTGTGGTATCACACCTGTACAGGAGAGAACAACAGGTACAATAAGCACCCTATCCATCCTCCACAGATGCCTTATTTCCTGGGCGAGTTCTGTGTACTTGCTAATTTTTTCAGTGCATGTGTTTTGTACATTGTGAGTGTTTGGAATGGCTATGTCTATAATGTATGTGATTTTATTGTGTTTGTCAATGAGTGTGATGTCTGGTCTGTTGTGGTAAACTGTTTTATCTGTGATTATGGCTCTGTCGTAGTACATTTTGTGCATGTTGTTTTCCAATACTGTTTGTGGAATGTGTTTGTAGTACAGTTTGTGGATGTCTACCAAGTTGTGTTTCTTTGAAAGCTCTTGGTGTATTATATTTGCTACTTGATTATGTCTGTGTAAATAATATGTCTGTGCCAAGAGCTTGCACCCAGAAGTGATGTGTTTTATTATTATTAATTATTATTATTATTATTATTAAGGATACAGTAAATCACAAATGGCTTCCATATACTTTAACTGGTCGTAATTTTTACTCACTAATTCGAGCATTTCATACAACTCTATTGTCACCTACAAATAGAAGATTTAATGAATTGTGAACTTAGTTGTTCCATACATACAAAATTAAAAATATACCTCCTTTATACATCGAGATCTTTCACCCTGAAAACGCTGCAAGAATGGTCCAACTAAATGGCAGAGGAACAGCAGCTGTTCTTCAGTCTTGATAACAGGCTTTAATTTCTCTCTCATGAATCTGAAGTAAATGTAAATGGTAAGATAAAGATGTTAATAATCCATACCTAAATTTAACATTAAAACTACTTGCGGGAGTACTGCACTTATTTGTCCCACGCTGGCGTGATACCAGATGGCATGTGTTAATGCGATGAGATGGCTGCACTGCACCTCGGTCATGGTGCAGTGACTCTTCGAAAAGTCAAATACCTGAAAAGGATCCATGTCCGGAAGAGGCATGGAAAGCAGAGGACTCTGAATTACTTCTAGAATTCGATCATGAAGAACAGACCAGTAAGATTCCTAGTAATGTGTTTAGTCAATAAATGGTTATTAAATCCTCTTTCAAAATAAATTTTGTAAGTGAACTTACTGGAAGAGCAGTCAAGACTAAAGCTACAGCATTCATCCAAGATTCAATATTAGATCGAGAAAGAACTGTGTGCCTGAATAATGACAGTCATTACATTTTAAAAAAATACCACTATAAAAAATATATTTCATCTTACCCTTTCAGTATCACATCTAACAATGCATTCCCGACAGTATTGGCCGCAAGAGGAAGTGCCATCAATTCTATGCAGGTAACATGTAGAGCATGGGCGGCAGGATTCGGAAATTCGTTAAATCTCCAATCTGTGTGTGGAAATGGTGAATTTCCACATATTGCTGATGTTGAAAATTAAGGATTCACTTAAAATTATTTACTTTAAAATTCTCAATTGCATTATGCATATTTTTTAATGCAATTAATTTATAATTGTATGCTGTATTATTCAATCTTACGGATCTACAGAATTTGGAATGTTTTTCCACATGAATAACTATCTCTCTAAGTCAAACTAGTAACAGCTTTAAAAAGAATATTTTTTTTATTCTGTTGTTTCACTTATGAAATTATTCTTGAAGCCGTAGCCAAGATGCATGGAAGACATTACATTACTTTTGAATGTTGGTTATACAATCTACATCTGGTATGTAGATGATATATTAATAATTTGGAAAATTAAACCAGAAATGCATTCTTTCCTATGTACCTTTAACAACAATCTTTATCAACTTACTCTCAACCTGGAACATGAGCACCAAATTGAGGTGCATTTTTTTGACATCATATGTACAGAGAACTTGGCTTATCCACTACGATACTTAGCCAATTTACCATCCGATTTTATTCTGGCCCATTCACACAACCCAAACTCATTTAAACTAGCTGATTTTCATTCACTTAATAAAATATCTCACAGTCTTCCAGCTAAAAAAGTAGGAAGGAAGAACTTCGATACATCATCAATATAGCAGAAAAGTATAGATAACATCTAAGAAGGCCTCATTAAGAAGCATCAATAATAAACAGCTAAAACACACACAGTGAAACTACCAGAATCGATGGTATATCTGTAGCCTTCAGGAGAAGCTCTACAATCTAAACCTTACTTACAAAACAACAAAGACACTAACAACAAACACTACCAGGTCACATTATAAGCATTTGCCAATTCTACTGTATATATAAAGGTAGCCTCAATGCATCATAATTTCTGTTAAAAACAGGTAAGCCGTGGCAGTTATCCACTCGTGTTGGGGGATGACATTCACACACATTGACCAAGCAAAGCTTCTACATCTTCCCTGGATACATCCAATCTATGGAACTTGGAGATGATCAAAATATATAAAGTGTGCAGGAGGAATTTGGCTATCAACTTTAAAGACCAACAAAATTAAAGACAGCAACTCACAAAAGCTTGGAGAGCCCTACTCAAGATACAAAAAAAAATAAGCATGGTTTTAAATCAGAAAATCACAAGAATAGATTCCCTTTACGAAATTATTTTTATTCAAAGATAATTGACAACAGTGGCTAATGTTCACTGAAAGTAATAATGAGTTGTATGATGGATTTTTGTGTCTTTATCTGGTTTAAATTTATTAAACAGTTTCATACTTTTAAACTACAACCAAATAGAAAAATTCCACCTAAAATCATGCATATCCTGTGGTCAGATGAGAAATCTCCTCACAGATAAGACCGTATATACTTAGTCTTGTCCTTTATTCTGTTCAGTAAAATGTTATTTGACAGTGTTGTGTGCAGTGGCAGCTTTCTCCTAGCTTCTTCCTAACTATTACTTGTTAACATATACAGAATGTCAAAATTCACAAAGCATGTGGTGTCTGATAATGTGCATGTATGTACACACACAACATACATTTTTTTAATAATGTATGTTGTGTTTGTGTACATACATAGTAACTGTTTATTTTCAACTTGGTAGATGCATTATTATAATTTACTAGCAGATAAGCCCAGCGTTGCTTGGGCAAAAAGTAATGACAGCTAAGATTAAGATAAATTACATTACAGCCAGTCTTACCCGTTTTCACAGAATGCAAGAATTAGGTTCCCCTGTTTCCAGACTAATTAGAAAATTTTTAGATGGGTCTAAAATTATGTTCAATTTAATGCAAATAACCGCATCTGAGCCTGTAAATCTTGCACGTTGCTTTCTCTTAACACTTCCATTGTTAAAGCCTTAATCCTGTCACTTTCCCTGCGGGGGGGATTCAAAAAAGCCCTTGTTAGTGTGCATTCTCATGACGTACCCTACAACTGGATGCACACATGCAGCATGGCAAGGAAAAGTGGCAGGATGACCTCACTTTTTATCGCCACAGAAATCGATTTTGTGCTGCTTTTCTCATGCCGCAAAAGTTGGTTGAATTTTGTCTTTTGTGGTAACCGCCGCCAAGATGCATTTCTATCAGCCAATAACAGTTCGTCTGGTAGTCACGTGAGAAAATACAATCACATGGTGTTTTAATGGCGGAAAGTTCGATGTGGTTAACCAAGATAACTAACATCAGAATAAAGAGAAAAGATAATAAATTTAACACATATTCTACATAAATAATCTAAATATATAAAATTGCTTATCCTGACTGACTTAGTCACTGATTCATCATTGCCCAGAGCAAATTGCTGAACCAAAAGAGGTGAAATTTGGTACACAGTTAGGGTAGATCATGGAAACGCACACTAAGAAGGGATTTTTTGAAATTACCAAGCAAGCGGAGAGGGAGAGCATTAAGGCTTAACCAGAAGAACTGCTTCTACTGTACTATTTTAGATGCGATTTTTTGTTTTTAACAGCGTATTAGTAGGGTACGCCATGGGAATGCACACAAAGAAGGGATTTTTCAAAATTCCCCAGCAGGGGGAGAGAGAGAGCATTAAGGCTTAAACTGAAGAACGACTTTTGAAATTGATTCCATACTTTCCCTTAAATTGATAACATTTCAGACATTGTTATAAATGTTTTCATATATTTCAATTTTTTAACCAAATGTTCAAACCGTTTTAAATTCAAATTTGTTATTAGGTATTGGTTCAATTATAGAACGATTGCAAACTTTCCAGAAAATTGATCAAATTTAAAACAGTTTGTTTGATTCTCAGCAATTCTCATCATTCTCAGCAATAGGTGTTATATAACAATTACTATGGTTGTTGAAATAGTGAATATAAATGGGGTTTGCTTGCAAAACCTCTGCGGGCAAAGTCGCAGGTAACAGCTAGTCATATACAATTTAATTCAAAGAACAAAACAACCGAATCTTACTCAAAATAGTATTCTTTATCAAGGAATAAGCGTATTTTGTACACCAGTTCTTTATCAATCCAAGAAAATATCTCTAATCCAAAATCTTTGTTTGAATCTTCGACAAAAATCTTCTAACTAAATAAAGCAAGCCATACAAAACAAAATTTGTAAACATGTGGATAGCGACAATATCAGTATCATTTGCCATCTTGAATACTGAACGCATGCGCCAAAATTTAAGTGGATTGCCGCTGCGCAGCGAAGATGCGTTTGCGACACCGCTTTTCCTTGCTGTGCCACATGTGTGCATCCGGCTTAACTGTGTACCAAATTTCAAGTTTCAACTCCTAACCGTGCTGAAATGCTCACGATGAAATGCTCGTATACACGTGCGCTATCTATCGTAGGATAAATGTATTATGCCAGAAACCTTTGCGGGAGTGTATTAAAAAACTTCCCAAAGTTTCATGGCAATTGTACTATGCCAGAAACCTTCACAGGAGTATATTAAACAACTTCCCAAAGTTTCATGGCAATAGGATAAATGGTGTAGTAATGCATGAAGGACAGATGGACAGCCAGACATACATTCATTTTTATATATATAGAAATGCAATAGGCACCAGCAAAATTTGCAAATTTTTATTTATGAAAATCAAAAAACTGTATTCTGTTGCTATAATTTATCAACTTATTTAAAGAAAGGTAGCTTTATGGCCAGTAAGCAATTCTTTTTGACACTAAGGTAGGTTGTCTCCCCTTTCCTACAATGCATTTTTCACCACCATTAACAGTTTTTAAACATGTAAGGTATTTGCTTGTTATTCTAGTGTAAAGAGAGAAAAATTTAATGCAAATACAATTTCTTAAGTATTAACTACTAGCAGATGAGCCCAGCATTGCTCAGGCAAAAAGTAACAATAGCTAAGATTAAGATGATTAGATTATAGTGATCTTACCCGTTTTCACCAGGTGCAAGAATTAGGTTCATCCTCTTCTGAGACTAATTAGAGAATTTTTAGATTAGTCTAAAAATATTTTGATTTTCTGCAAAAACCGCATCTAAAATAGTACAGTAAAATCCGAGTTCAGGATAATTTTAACCCTCTCCCCCTCCCGAAAGGAAAAATTTCAGAAAATCTCTTCTTTGTGTACCAGTACATTCTCATGACACCCTAACTGTATACCAAATTTCAACTTTCAACTCGTAATCGTTTAAGCTCTGTGCTTATTATTATTATTATCAACCTATCTTGAATATATTATAAGACTAGCTGTTACCTGCAACTTCACCCGTGCAGATTTTGCAAGCAAACCCCATTTATATTCAGTATTTCAACAATCATAGTAATTGTTATATAACACCTACTGCTGAGAATGATGAGAATTGCTGAGAATCAAACAAACTGTTTTCAATTTGATCAATTTTTTGGAAAGTTTGCAATCATTCTATAATCAAACCAATATGCAATAACAAATTGAAATTTAAAATGGTTTGAACATTTGGTTAAAAAATTGAAATATATAAAAATATTTATAACAATGTCTGAAATGTTATCAATTTAATACATCTAAGTACTCAATGAAGACTAAACTAGTAGTTAAAAACAAAAAATCGTATCTAAAATAGTACAGTAGAAGCTGTTCTTCAGGTTAAACCTTAATGCTCTTCCTCTCCCCTGCAAGGAATTTCAAAAATCCCTTATTAGTGTGTATTTTCAGGACATACCCTAACTATGTACCAAATTTCACCTTTTTTGGTTCAGCAGTTTGCTCTGGGCAATGATGAACCAATCAGTCAGGACAAGTAATTTTATATATTTAGATTAGGGTCAAATTTATGAGAAATTTAGTTTTCAGTATTCTATTTATCAGATATCTAATAGAAAAAATGATTAAAATCACTTTTTGAATTTTAACTGAATAAATCTTTAGTATTTAAAAAGATTTTTTTATTTAAATAACCTATAAAATAAAATAATAACCAATTCAGAAAATGTTTCATTATAATGAAGAATTAACTTACTTGAATAAAATGATTAATTTTAAATTCTAAAATCTAAAAAACTTCTTTGGAATATTATATTTCGAATTTGGAATGAATTCAAATATTTGTTTGAATTCATTTATTTTGGATTTTGTTTTTGGGTTACCCAAAAAGTGGAAATTATTAAAATATTTATTAATTGCCAAAATGTATACTATATGTGCTACTATTTACTTTCCTTCATTATTATTTACACTTTATACTGACTAAAACTAACTCGCTCCTCCTTTTCCCTCAGGGGGTTGAATTTCCAAAACTCCCTTCTTAATGTGCATTCTTATGGCATACCCTACTAAAACACAGTCAAAAATGCAAAAAAACTGCATCTAAAATAGTACATTCTTCAGGTTAAGCCTTAATCCTCTCCCTCTTCCCTGCAGAGGGGAATTTCAAAAAATTCCTTCTTAGTGTATATTCTCATGACTTACCCTGTGTACTAAATTTCAACTTTCAACCCATCTCAATTATATATATAGATATATTGATTTTGGACAGGAGTGTGGCATAAAAAATTGTTAATGAGCATCCATAATTTAAGAGTGAGTCAAATAAAAACCTTAAGTTTGTATTCTCCATTGTGTTTGTTACATTATGAAATGCAAAGAAAAATGATAAAGCCATCCAATGGTTTTCTCGAGAAAAAATCCTGTTGGTCATGTACGATGCTACTTCACATACATCTTCATCTGACCTGAAAGTCTTTCTGCACAGTGATCCAAAGATATAAACATATCTGGTTAATATGGTGGATGTGGAAGACAATTTACAGATCCTCAATGGTTGCATGGACAGTACAAGGCGAGGCATAATCATATTGCAATAAGACATTTTGATGTGCAATCAAATCTAATGACATGGCTGCAAAGATCTGAATATGTGATACTGGCAAGTGTTTCCCTGGCTTCTTTTGGAGTACTGTATAATTTGCCCTTGTGAGTCAAGAATTTGTTTGGTTTTAGATTTTGGTGAAGTAGGATGGCACTATTCTTGCTCACTCTTGGTTTCTGGCTGGTGTTAGTGAATCCAGGCTTTATCTCTTCAAACATCTGCTTCAAAGGGCTACAAAAGTGGACAACATGTTGATACTTGTGGACATTTCAATTTTGGAGTAAGTTGCTGTGGCACTCACCTTGTGAAACTAGAACACATCATAGACTGGGTAAAGTGCTCAACTGGCTCATTATTAATAGAATCAATTGACATTTATTTAATAACAATCATATGTGAAATAGACAATTCAGTTTTAGAAAAAGAAAATCTACTATCCAGGTTGCCCTGAGCACTAAACACTTCATCGAAAAAGCTTGGCAAAACAACCAATATGCTATTCTGATTGAGATTGACTTTCAAAAGGCCTTTGACCATCTCTGGTGGCATTCTCAAGGGCCTAAACAATATTCAGTGTCCACAAAACATCAAAACTCTCCTCCAAGACTATCTTACTAATAGGCAAGCTAACTTCTATACTGATAGCTTAATGGTTGAAAAGCAGATCATGAGAGATTGCCTCCAAGGGTCCAGAAGTGGCCCAGGCCTGTGGAATTTGACTTTTGACAGCCTGCTCAGAAAAATCCCAGAGACTGATGATATTAAAATTCAAGCTTCACCGATGATGCCCTTATCATGATAGCTAACAAAAACTGCGATCATTGAGGGATGAGGCAAACAAAATTCTTGAGACAGTGAATGTTTGGAGCCACCAAAACAAATTCCACATAAACCATAACAAATGCAAAACAGTGGTCTGCACTAGGAAGAACAAATGGAGCCAGCTTAAAAAAGCCATTGGCATTAAAATTGATGGGAAAAATATCAAGAACGTCTAGCAGATCAAATATCTGAGGATATACTTCGACAGGAAGTTAAGCTGGAACCACCATATCCATGAGACCTATAAGAAAGCCATTGTAAGGGCCAACATCCTACAGCATATCTCCAGGAATACTTGGGGGGATGTCCCTGGACAACACCAAAATGATTTACATCTCAGCCATAGTGCTGGGTGCCTTATACAGTGTCCAGGTATGGGAGAAGGCTCTAGATAATGTCCACAACAGGAGGAAATTTCTTTCTCTTCAAAGGAAAGTAGCAATAAGGGTCTGCAAGGCCTATAGAACTGCACCTACAGATGCTTTTCTGGTGATTGCCAACATTAAACCTATCCACCTCAAAGTCAAAGAGCAAAGGTGGGAATGGCATATTACAAGAGAGAAACTAAAAAATAATAATGAAAAGGAAACTAAGTTAAAAATTAAGAATGGGGACCTTCCTCCCCATTCTTAATTTACTTAATTTAATTCTTCGATACTGACTTTATTAAAAAGATATATAATAATGAAATTGATACCATCTCAGATAAAACAACGACAACAAGTAACCCAGTGGAGGTTGGGAGTTATGAGGTAGAAATGGATTTTGATGGAAAACTTAACAAAACTCACTACTGGAAAATTTACACTGATGAGTCTCTCACAACTAAAGGAGTTGGCAGTAGGATAATAATTAAAAACAATAATAACCATACAACTTACCAAACTTCCAAGAAAATGGCCAACTATTGTACAGTCATCCAAGCAGAGATGTGGGCTATGTTCAATGCTCTAAAACACATCCAAAAAAATAGCAACTATTATACAGGACTGATGGAAATATTCACAAACAGCAGAGCTACACAGCATATTCTCAAGAATAAAACTGCCAACTCCAAGTTGGCATTAGACCTTATCCAAATCACTGAAGCCATTCATTCCAAACACCATGTTAGTTTTCATTGGATCCCGGTCCACAAGGGCCAAGATGACAACAAGCAGGTGGACAAGTTAGCTAAAAGTGCAACTGATTCAAATACACCAGTAATTTACAGTAGGATTCCTCTGAAACACATCAATAAGAATATTAAAGACATCACTGATAGGCTATGGCAGGAAGAGTGGCACAGTTCAACTACGGGTAGACACTGTTACAAATTCTTTCCCTCCATTCATTCATTAATAATAAACATTTCACCCAGGACCTCACCCAGTGCCTCGCCCAGCATGGGAACTTTAAGTTACTGCTACCACTTTCAGAAAACCAACTCTAAAAATTGTGATATCGACAACGACCAAGAAGATGACATAAATCATTTCTTATACAAATGTACTGGTACCAAATATGAAAATCAACGCACCCAGTTTGAGGCCACATGCCTCCATGCAGACTACAACTGGCCTCCTAATGAAAAGGACTTAGTCATGGACAGTAACTTTGTTCAGCAAATTCATCACCAAGACCAGGACTCTCACCCAGATCACCTATTTACACCAAAATATGTTGAGCCCAACCAAATGANTGTTGTAATTGATGTAGATTTCCCAGATTTTCAAATCAATAGGAAGAGTATGGTTTATAACAAGCAGGGCTTCAGTCGGGGCAGTTTTACAGGACTTGGCTATGTTTATCGCTAGGAATCTTTGGATCGATAGAAGTTTCCTCCTAATATGGACCCTGGAGATGGAGGAGCCCCACATCTCTGAACCATATGTAACCATGGGCTCAATCACCGTAGTGTAAAGAATTCTGCTTGTAGTAGGACCATAGCCCCAGTAGTTCCTGCAGATAGTTTTAAGAGCCTGGACCACTTTAACAGCCTTTCCATAGATATAGCGCATGTGCTCTGTCCAGTTCAGCTTTTGGTCCATCATAATACCTAGGTATTTTACAGCAGTGGAATTTTTAATCTTTCTATTATTAATCTTGATACTGAAGCCCTTCTTCAAAATGTTGCCTTTAGGGAAAACAATGGCATGACATTTTTCGTGATTAATTAGGAGCTTATTCTTCTCACACCAATCAGATATTATTGAGAGAGTCTGGTTTATCTTATCTTGCAGTACTTCATGGTTGACATGACTGAGCAAGAGAACCGTGTCATCGGCGTACCCATGGAGAAGAGCCTGGGGATCGCTGTGTAAATTGAGTTGTAGTTTGAGCAGACTGTTGTAAAGAATATTCCAGAGGTACAGACCTGACCTGGAACCCTGCGGGCAACCCCTATTGATGTTCTTTTGGTGGTGGGTATTACTATCGGAATCCACCAGGATACTTCTGTCTCAGAGATAGCTTGCCATCAGCCAATACAGATTACTGGGGCACTTGTCGTTCCTAAAGTTATGAAGTATGGCTGGCCACCAGGCATGGTCAAACGCACCTTTGAAATCTGTAGTGACCATGATACTGTGTTTGCCTTCCTTCCTAGCTTTAAGAATCTGGGTCTTAATATTGTCTATCGCTCCTACTGTACTTTTGCCCTTTCTAAAACCATACTGCCTGTCACACATGATGTTGTTATGCTCGTAATGAAAAATTATGCGGTTGATGAGAAGGGCATCCAGGACTTTGCCAATAACAGAGAGCAGCAAGATGAACCTAAAATCCGAAGCAGTAGTGGGGGTAGTCCCCTTACTCTTATGGATGCCCTTTTCCAGGCAGTAGGAAAGTAGTGGATGTCAAGACACTTGTTGAACAGAGTACAAAAGGTTGTAGGAATTGCCAGGAATGCATTCTTGGCCATCTTGGCAGTAATATAGTCTGGGCCTGGGGCTTTCTTCAGTTTTAACCTCCGGAATTCTCTGTCAATCTCCAGCATAGTGAATGGTGTATCATTTATAGTGTGATAGTCTTTTTCGATGTTGGCCCTGATGTCCTTATGATATTGATCGTCTTGGTCGAGTCGATCATCTGGGAACAGCTCATGAATGATATGTCTGTAGGTCTCAGTGATAGAGCTAGCGTATTCATCGTTGTTAATCCTGATAGAAGGTGGAATCTGTAATTTTTTCTTTTTGCCAGTGACCACATAATAGGGAGTACTCCATAGGTTCTTGTTTCCAACTTTGGAACAGAAGTCTTTCCAAGCCTGAGATCTCGCCTTATTAATGGCAGTTTTGTAATTTTTAAAGAGGGTAGTATACTCATTGCGGATTTCTTGCTTTTTATTGAGGTCATGTTCTTTCCGAAGCCTCTTTTTCACTTTCCTCAGAGTGTTCCTTTGGTTAGTAAGGTCCTGATTCCACCATGGGGCAGTACATTTGACCGTCTTTACAGTGGTGGACTGAGAGTAGGCTCGTTGTATTACATTATGTAGTTCGTTGACCACCTTATCAATGCCTGCTCTGTCCGTAATGTTGACAATGTCACCAGGATTCCAGTTTAGCTGTATAAGTTGGTAGAAAAGATCCCAGTTTGTACTCTGGGATATACAGTACAGTCATACCCCGACTTGAACGACCCGGAGTTACGCGATTTTCAAATCTCGTGGATTCATCTTTTGTTTGAGCGCCATGCAACCCTTGATTACTCACTCTCCCTACACTATTGTTCAGCTTACATGTTCGGATGTGTCGCGCGGAATCGACGCATAGCTACAATTTATTTTGTGTAATTTATTTCTGTTTTTTATATCTACGGAGACTCGAGAGACTCTATGTGGTGATTTCTTGTAACCGTGAACGAACCAAAAGATGAGATAAGATTAACGAGAACATTTATTAGCTTTCATACATCCGACTTGGATTTTACACAAAAGGCATCTGCAATCGTAAACAATTGACGAAAAAAGTATACATTTATCAGATAATAAACAAAGACTCATTTTGTAAACAATTTACCTTTTGTATATACAACTGACAAGATTACCTTTCAAATTATAAACAGACTCGATCTCAAGCGGTCTTTTGATCGTCAGACATACAAAAGAAATGAACANGCTGGAATTTTAAAGGTGTTTTTTTCTTGTTATATTTATTAAGTCACAGTCGTATTATCAAAGATTTAATCTTATAATTTAAATTTAATAACAAACATGGACATTTGAATTTGCCGACTAGAACGGTCCGTTAACCAATGTGACGGTTAATCGGGGGGGTCGGATAATCGATGCTCTACTGTATATAATGTTCAGAACATCTTTATACATTAATATAGACACCTCTAATTAAAAATGGAGGTGTTAAAAAGGCAAGAAATAAAATGCAGATGATTTGTAAAAGTTATGATCTTCTCAGAACTTCATTGATTGACTGACTGCTGGAAATTCCTATATTGTATCTTACTGAAGTATAAACTTAGAGATCAAGCATGCCCCAGTGAAGAGGAAAAGAGTTATATAGCCAGCTTTTAGACTTTGAATGGGGAAGAATTGTGGAATGCAGGAAGATGGATTATCCCTTCAGGACTTTCATGATACTATATGTTGGCATTGTATATTTATGTTTTTTGTTTTATGATTATTGGTGATAATCTTGCCTGAAGAAGTCATCAATGCAATGTTGAAAGTACTTGCTATTTTTGACACATTTGTTTAAAATATGATTTATGATATTTGTACTTTAAATTTGAATGTAAACAAAAAAATAAAAAATGGAATATACTGATGTAAATAAAAAAATTATTTTATGCAACAATGATTGATTATTATACTTTTTAATAAAGAATTAAGTGTATAAATATATTACAATAGTTTTCTAAATTCAACTCATATATAACTGTATCTGGATAATGATAATTATGTTGTCTTTAAAGTTTTTGTACCCCTTTTGTAAAGGCAAAAAGCCATAACAAATTAAAAATTATATAATAATCAATCAATCATTTATTTGATATGGCTTTTTGCCTTTACAAAAGGGGTACAAAAACTTTAAAGACAACATAATTATCATTATCCAGATACAGTTATATATGAGTTGAATTTAGAAAACTATTGTAATATATTTATACACTTAATTCTTTATTAAAAAGTATAATAATCAATCATTGTTGCATAAAATAATTTTTTTATTTACATCAGTATATTCCATTTTTTATTTTTTTGTTTACATTCAAATTTAAAGTACAAATATCATAAATCATATTTTAAACAAATGTGTCAAAAATAGCAAGTACTTTCAACATTGCATTGATGACTTCTTCAGGCAAGATTATCACCAATAATCATAAAACAAAAAACATAAATATACAATGCCAACATATAGTATCATGAAAGTCCTGAAGGGATAATCCATCTTCCTGCATTCCACAATTCTTCCCCATTCAAAGTCTAAAAGCTGGCTATATAACTCTTTTCCTCTTCACTGGGGCATGCTTGATCTCTAAGTTTATACTTCAGTAAGATACAATATAGGAATTTCCAGCAGTCAGTCAATCAATGAAGTTCTGAGAAGATCATAACTTTTACAAATCATCTGCATTTTATTTCTTGCCTTTTTAACACCTCCATTTTTAATTAGAGGTGTCTATATTAATGTATAAAGATGTTCTGAACATTATATACAGTAGAGCATCGATTATCCGACCCCCCGATTAACCGTCACATTGGTTAACGGACCGTTCTAGTCGGCAAATTCAAATGTCCGCTAGTGATGTGGCGCTACAATATTTGGCTATGTCTTGGCTACTTTAATAGTATTTTTACGCGTTTTAGCTAGTGACATGGCTCGACCATGAAAGGGAGCCAGTATTTAAATGAGGCTTAATTTTCTAATTTTTAACGATACAATAGCGACGATTATTATTTTAAAAAAATTTTTGTTAGGCTTAACATCGATGAAAATTCAACGCGAAGTAGGTTAATAGCGATATACTAATATACTAATTACATGGGATATAATAATATACTACACTAATAATGGATTTTTTCATACTTTTCGGTTATCCGACTTTTCAATTATCCGACCAACCCCAGTCCCCAATTA